CCCTACCTTAATGTTACGTTGCAAGCTAAAGAGATACTTTAAGCTTGAGAAATTAGTACTTTCAGCACATTAATGTTACTCTGTAACACTGCAACAAGCAGTACTTTACACAGTCCTATTAAAAGTAATTTTATCACTAAAAAACCACCCCCATTCAATCCCATATGTAAAGCTAGGCTTCCAGCGTCCTTATTCAATTAGTTACAATTACGTAGCACATCCAAGTTAGTCAGCAGTGCCTGCGACAGTATTGCTTTTTGTCTACTGGACAGAATGAAATGGGGAAGAAATCCAACACATGCTAATCCTCAGTTCCACACACTCTGCCAACTGCTGTAACAACTTCCTTGCTTTCACGCCACAGACAAATTCTTGACATTGCTTTGTTACGGTTGGTTTCGTACATTTGAAAACAGTCTACTCCACTTTACCATTTTGAGACCCTCCCCACGGCACAGCATTTCGTACTTCCTTCTCTCGGGCAGGTAATCCTTTTTCTTAACCTCAGTTTCCTTCTCCGTCTGGTCTTCTGAATCCGTACTGGACTTATTTGCTTCTTTTTCTTTAGCCATGATATATTCAAAGTATTTCATGTTCCCATTTGCTCTTTGGTGTTCAGGATCTATCGGCAAAGAAACAGACAAGTATCACAGGCAAGTTTCCAACTTGTGAAGAAGTATCCAGAAGAGGCTATTTACAAAAAGAAAAAGAAAACAGATGCGCACTACTGCTTCTCAAACAGAAATCAGAAGCATCTACTCTGGTTTGAGAGCATTCACAGGACAGCTAAGACCGAGCTAAGCTGGAAGCGATGCTAGCCTGCAGCATGCACATATCCTTACGCATCTGCAGGAAAACACGCAATGAGCTTTCAGAGCCAAGCTCAACTTATTCACCGTTAAGAAACTGCTGACTGCGAGGCCAGGATCCTCTGCAGGCACAGGGCTCCAAGCACTAAGAAAAAGGGTTTGGCCATTCCAGCCAATCTCACCAGAGAGGGAGAGAAGGAAACGGGACAGGGACAATGCTGGGACAGCATGACTGGCTTTAAACCTCCCTGATGGGAATTAAGATTTCCGGTGACAAAGCTTTTAATAATCACTGAACTTACAGAATTTGCTTCAGTTCAGGTTAATAAATAGTTCTCAGTAGCCTTTGCTATACTAGGTTTAGTTCTGAACTTCCCACTGCACCCTTTCCGCAGTCAATCAGTGGAATATTTAGAGAACCATAAATACTTTTCATATTTCATAAAATGGACAGAATCTTAGCTCACTGTATTGCATTCTGTATTTCTTATTTTTCCAAGTTTTTCATCTCAAGTATGCTCAACTGGCCTTTGAATAATCTGCAGAGATTTTGGTATCACCAGTCTAGTTTCAATGTCATTAATTTTGCTCTTGCCTGTACCTAAGGGGAAGTAATCTCAACACAGGAAAGCAAGATATAGTAAGAGAACCAAATTTTAGGTAGTAATGACTAAGATGGGTAAGCGGTTAGAAGCCAACAGCGACAGGAGACAAAATACTTCAGTAGAAAGGAGCAATCCTTAACCATGACACTTCCTGACATGGTAGGTGAGACTATAATTGTCCATCTAAAAATATGGCAGCAAAATATGATTTATGGTAATACAAGTCTTATTTTACTGAAAACTGCACATCAAGACGGTAATGGTAGTATCAGGAACAATCCATTTTAAAAACCCATATATAAGTCTGAATACAGGCAAGACCGCACTCCTTGGTACAAATCCATAGCTAGCACCTGCTCGAACACAGAGCCAGATCGTGTTCACACGATCTCTCTTCCACATACCCAGTTCCAGAAGGCGTTTGGTGAGCATCATGGCTTTGCCCAGATCCCCCTGCTGATACACAGCATAACTCAGGTAGTCCAGAATGTAGACTTTATCTGCAGAAGACACTTCTCCCTCATCCAACTGTTTCAGAGCTTGTTCCATCCAGAGCTCGGTGTGGTAGTAGTCAGCTTCAGTGTAGGCAATCTTTCCCAGCTCAAAGCAATCTTCAGCTGTTAAAAAGGATTTGTGCTTCACACCTGTATTTAAAACAAAACAAACCAAACAATTTGCACAGAATTCCAGACCCAGCTTCAGAGTAACATTCAGTTATTTCTTATTCTTCACAGCATAGTTTACTTCTGTTCTTCAACATCTCCCTTCTGTGGTAGCTATTTGTTGAAGACTCAGTTTAAGTATCTAAAGCCTGTAAATCCTTGGCAGAACACGTAAGTGGTTAGATGGAGTCTTCCATTGCCAGAATACCAGCAACTAGCTAAATGTCTTTACCATTAGCAGAAAATAAAATAAAATAAAATAAACCTTCTTTCTTCAAAACCCCAAACGCTTTGAGCAAGAGCAACAGTAAGCCAAATACAAAGTTTCAGAAATCTGTTTTCAAAGACACTGCATTATCGCTTTCAAAACGTTACTGAAGCGCATCTTGTTAGCAACAACTTAGTCGGGGAGGAAAAAGAAAACACCAGTCAGTAAACTTCCAGCTGCTCAAGATTTTTGAAGTCACGTCATTTTTAGAAACATTTGAAGAGACTTCTGAAAGATTTAAGCACTAGTAAGCAAATTACAGATTCCTATTTTTGCCACTGTAAATTAAGGCCCAATGAAAAACCAAATTTAATCTCGTAAAAAGGAAACAGGACCCGCCAGTTTTACAGCTAAAATTACATTCCTGATTACATCTTAATACATCCTGAATTTCTAATACCAGCTCCCACAGCTGCGTTCAAACAGGGGAATTCTTCTGTTGAAGACACGCCTTAAGAGATTAAATAGCTGAAGAGACAGTCTGTGAAATGCAGTAGCCCACAGAACAACTTTCTTTCTGCTCACTAGTTAAACACCTCGTGGTCCATCCTGTGATGGCCAGTGATTTCGGTTTTCTGGGCCTGAAGCTGCGAACTCTAAAATAACACAAAGATCAGGGAACTGGGTGTGGTGGTGGCGGAGCACTCTCAGAGAGCGAGATCCTCTGGAACGGGCAGCAGGTTGCAGGGCCATAGCCTGGTGCGTTTAGAAGCAACGTAACACCCACACGTGAAAAGGCAACTCTTAAAAGGGTGCTTAAGACAGCAATCGTCAAATAGGGTTGATAGTTAATACAAAGAAACAGGACAGCCTGTAACGCAGGAAAGAGCGACACGGCAGTAGTTAAGATTCTGATCAAAACTTGGCGACCTGGCCAAACAGAAATGCCCTGGGAAGGAAGACAAGGAGCATGAACAAGCGACCACGTGGGATGTTCCTCTCTAGAGCTCTGAAGAGACCAACCTATTCTCTTTTATACTCCAGAACTTTCAGATTCTGCAATTACACTTTACTACACGCAGTCTAGACAGCTTATTACTTCAAAAGAAGCAATAAACTACAGTCCACCCAAAGGACTTTGTCTTGTATTTTTGTGCTGTTTTAAGAAAACAATAACAAACTGCTTATTGCATTAGAATGAATCTGTAGGTCTTTGAGACAGTCTTGAATTAAACCCAAAAGCAAGGTTATACATCATAACATATAAAGCCAATTACCCTTAATTTTATTAGGCATCTGACCACAATGAGCGCTTGCAAAAACACAGATGGATTGTACAGAGTTGATTTTTCGCCAGTTGGCACAGTACTATTTTCAAACAGAAGAAACATGGAGAACTCGGCAGAGAAAGTGTCTAACACTTCTTTCTTATAAGTGTCTTCTCCTGCATGTAAATCTATTAGAGATTACCTCAGGTAATGCCACATCAGCTCAAGTCTGTGTATGCAGACTGTTTTTCAGTTTATACATTCCATGAAGTTTAAGCTCAAAGAAACTTCAGTCACTCCCAATCCGAAAGGTTCATCTTAGCCGTGAGAGGGAAAGGGATAATAAATGACAGAACTGTTTGTCAAAATGCATTACATTGTGCAATAATACTAGGTATCTGCCATTGTACAACTACTTCAATACAAGGAAAATCCTCACCCAAGCAAGATTTTATTGCTATTCATTTTTTTTTAATTGAAAACTATTAACGCTGAATTATCTTACCATAACTAGAAGAAAGATGCAGACTTCAACTAAAAAGAAATTTTCAAGTTCTAGCACAAGCAGAAAACGAGCATGTGAGTAGAGCAAGGAGAGCGACAGGATAAAGAAGAGTCTCAACTCAGAAAGAAACTTGCATTCTGTGCAGTGCGTTTTACCCACACGCACTTGGGCAGCGTGCTGGCAGAAGAAAGCCCAGCAGGCAGGGAAGCCAAGCGGATGTAGTTTCCAACAGAACCACCACAGCGACAGGCCCAACAGCATGCCAGAGCAGGTCAGCTCTTCCTGTGTTCCTCTTTGCTAGCGCAGCCTGAAGCAACAGGTTCCTCTCTCTTGAGGTGTGGCAGAATTAAAACTGACAACTACATCAACCTACATTCAACCACTCACATCACGCCACTTTCCATAAATTCTTAGCTAGCTCAAATATTTTCCTGTTGTTACCTTCACACTGCGCAGTTAAACAAGATAGAACAGAGTCAAATGATTTGTAATCAGGACATTTAGCAAAAGTTCACAGTGTCTTCTGAAAATAACATCGATGACTCTTACCTGGAAGATTCCCTCTTGAGAGGGTGTCCGTGTCCAAATTATACGTGTCTTGAAGCCGCAAGAGGGCTTTTGCTGCACCAGTCTGATCTTCATCATTTGGGAAAAACTGTCGCTGGATAGTCATGTTGGAGATAAAGCCTGGGAAAGACAGGGAAACACTTGGCCTTCTTTGTCCCATGAATTCCATAAACTCTATGCATGAAATGACTCCCTACTCTGGGGAAAACTTAATATTTCAGGAAAGGCCATTAATAAGTCAGGAAGAGCTACTAGCCCTGCAGAGCAGCAACAAACACAGTAAGTTTGTTTCTAAAGGACAGGAGTACCCCTTTGGTTTCACGCAGGAACTATTTTTGTCTTAACAGTTCTTTGTTTTTTGGTGGGGTTTTTTGTGTGTTTTTTTTTTTTTTTAAAAGTTACAGAGAACAAAAAGACCACCCCCACATGGGGAACATTACAGATAATACATTGGTAGTTTTTGCAACCATTCCACTCAATCCGCCTTCCAAAAGGCTTTTCATTTAGCAACATGGCATTTAAAAATAATTTAGAATGGAAAAACCAAACGGAACCAAGAATAGCTGGACAAAGATTAGGGCTGATCAATAAAAAGATGAAAACCAAAAATGCTGATGTCTAATTGCAAACAGCTTTTGACAAGACTTTAGGCAACTAAGCAGCCACTATGAACCTAACTGCTTTCTCTGGATATGGGCATTAACATATTTACATAGAAACTTGAGAAACACACAGAGTCAAAAAGGTTTCTCAAGATCCATCTTCACATAACTCTGAATTGAACTCAAGGCTCACGTTGAAAAGTTAGTATTTCAGGTCTTCTTTTGTGAAAAGAAAGCAAAGAAAATCAAAAAGAAAAACTTGGGGGCTTTTTAAAGAAGCATCAGGGTGATGTTTATGGAACCGAAGACAAGCAGGTTCTAGAGAGTAAAAAAACATGCTTTCTAGGAACTCTTCCCCAGTCATGAGAGTCGCATGTAATCATCTCCCCTGTTATGAAAGGTTCCCACTCCTCTCTGGTGAGCACACACACAACCACTGCTATTGATGGTACTTGAAGGGCCCTCCTGTACAGCTGCTGCATTATCCTCTCTTCAGCAGGAAAACTGACGCCATTTTTCCCCGTCTGCTTTTGCGCAGTCAGGAGGCTGGTGGGCTGTTTGCACTGATGAGGGAAACAGAACTCCAGAAAGCCAGGGGGGCAGCACCAGCACCCTGGTACACGCAGCCACCAAGCGGAACAGCATCTACAAAGTCCGCCATGAGGACCTCAGTTTGAACAAACTGACGGCCACTCTGGTGTTTTCAGAAAACTTAACTTTTCTACTCAACAAACTCTTTTGTCCCAAGATCCAGAAGCACAACAACAGTGTTAACTAAGGACAGTGCCAGTATGATGTTTAAGCTCATCTAATATCCACCAGTAGAAAACTAAACAGCACGACCAAAACCAGACGAAGTGTAGTATGCAACGCTCAGCTGCAAAACCATTCAAAAAATAACGAACTGGCCAAATTTGATTTCTGCCACACTCTAGTTGTCCTTTTTAACTATTAAGACCTGATAATGCTATTAGTTCATGGAAAGGTGTTCCTATTTTAAAAAAAATACCATATCCTTTTACTCCTGTCCATCCTTTCTTTTACTATACTATGCTTCCCCCAATATTTTCCTTTTTCCTGACAATTTTCTTAAAACAGTCCACTTCCCCACCCCTCATTCAGAAGAAGGACTTAAGATGCACTGGTCCAGATTCCTGGCTGGCAGGTGCAGAGCCTGTTCAGTTGGCATATTAACAGTTGGACTTGATGATCTTAAAGGTCTTTTCCAACCTAAGCCAGTCTATGATTCTATATTCAGTCCCTCACAGCAGCAACAGGGAAGCTGAATATGCTGAATCCTTATCAGAGACTAAGCCTCGGTCTTTTGAGAGCTCTGCTTTTTTATCATTTCTTATTACAAACCTGCACCTGGTATTAGTTACCTGTTGAAACAGATTCTCATAGGTCAAATATAATCATCCCAGCTTCCTTGCTGCTAAGTGTCTTTCACAGCTAACTATTTTATGTCCTGTTCCCTACTGAAGAGCTTCTACTCTTGCTGAAGAGGCAGCAAAGTGTTTACTACACTAATTCAGATCAGTTCCACAAATGCTCAGTCTCTGTCAACATTCAGGTTTCAAACCACCACACCTCTGGGCATAGCAGCAGCAACAGCACTTGACCATACTCAAAGGACAGCCCCACATTTCTCGCACTCAGAAGAGTTTCGTTCCCTTTTTTCTGTTCAATGGACTCATCACACTTAGAGATGAAATTCCCTAAGATACTAGTCTCCAAGTGGGAGAGTACATGAAGCAAGCCCTGTTCCTTTGCAAAATTTAAAGCATCCAAGGAGATTATTCAGTTTAAACATCGCAGTTTTCCTAAATTTTTGTAAAGCTCAAATTATAGCACACTGACAGCAAAATGGCAAGTCTTCTAGGATTATTTTTTATGAAGGCACCTCAAAAGCAGGCTTACAAATCCAATTCAAACCATGACACGTGAAAAAGAGAGTCAAGTAAACGCAATTATAACGTGATCCTTGTTGTTACTACAGGCACACTTACCATCTGACATGTCCTTCAGAACCAGGCTCTCCAGCTCACCCCACTCTGTGTTAAGCCGTTTCATCAACTTGAACGCGTTAACAGGATGCCCCAAAAACCCCTCTGGGTCTTTCGTAGCAGTATCTGTCAGCTGATCCAGTTTCTCTGCCCATCTATAGTGAAAACACACATTCATTAAAGTTCCTTGTCAAAGTCTGCCAATGCACTATAAAACTGATTTCAAGCTACTCAACAGTCTTCACTGAAAAAAAAAAACCAACCAACACAAATTGCAAGCTTTCACATTATCTATATATAAAGCTCTCCTAGAAGGAACAAAAAGGGCTTTTTATTTTCTTTTTTTTTTCCTTCCCTTTTTTTTTTTTTTTTTTAAACCTTCCTCAGCTGCAGCCTAAATCTTGTGTTGCTCTTGTGGTCTCTGTTGGAACACTGCTGAACGAACTCCTTCCTCCAAATACCAAATGCAGTACGCCAGCAGTTCCATTATGAGTTTTCATGAAGGACTAATCGAAACCAAAGTTTTACCCACATTTTTGATCTTCTATTTTCAAATGGTCTTTTTTCTAAAGTTTACAATAAGATAGTTCAAATACAGAACACTTGTCTCAAATTATTTTACATTTAGACACACACTCTTAAAGCTACGATAAGCCCCTTGCCTCCCACCACAGAACTGCCTTCTATACTGTAAGCTTGTATGAAGAAACATATAGTTCTCACGCTCCTGAATGAGGAGCCCATATCAAATTTCTGGTGCTACAGTTCTGATTCCACAACCCTCTCTAACACTGTCAGTGACACAAGCCATTCACGACTCCAATGTGCTCTGAAACAAGCACACCTTTCAACAACTGCTGTTGTTCATCTTATCATTTTAATGGAAACATCCAGGGAGTCTGCTCCAGCCTCAAGTCAGCAAGCACATCGGTCATGCTATAAGCACCAGCACTATGCTACTACATGCCTGCAAAACAGGCAAACTTCCGCCCCTCTATCCAAAACAATGCAGATCTAGGACATGAAGACATGTAAGAATGCCCTAATAACAGGATAAATTAACATTAAAAGAGCCACGCCCCACAGAGAATACCAAACATCAACATCAATATAAAGCAAATACAAAATCTGTAGCCTGGAGGGAACTCTGCACACAAGCCGGCACTCAGCTTGTTCCAGAATTTGGTATGCCTGTATTAAGTTTGCCTGCTTTACCTGAGACAGGTAGATGTTTACAACTGCTAAAGGTGCCACTATCTGCATTCACTCTTCCCACACTGTCTGTAGTTGTTCTCCTATGCTCCGACAGCCCCTGTCTGGGTTCTTGCCAGCAGCAACGCGAGTGAAATGGTTCCCTCCAAAATGGAGTGCTCAAAGTGCTCCTGTGGACCAACTCTAGCTTCTAGCAAGCTGAAGACTGAAGAAACCAATTTCAACAAATTGTGCATTCACACTGCACATTGTCAAATCGGTCGTACGTTTCCCACTGCATGACTATCAAACCTAATAAGTAGCTGAAAGTCACTGCAACCATGAGCCACAACCACAAGGCCAGGAGTTCTTTCAAGTAGTTTCTGTTTCATAAAAACCTCCACCACAAGCCACCCACAAGGTGTGAGCCGTCCTCCGCATTTCAGTGAATTACCAACTTTCACTGAGTTTAAGTCAACACAAGCTACCAATATCCTTCAGCCAAAGTACAGAGCCCAACAAACTCAAATGACGCTGGCATTTTTTTCCAGGTTCTTCTCCCTGTGACAGTTATTTTAACTTTTCTGACCTGACAGCGAGCACCTCTACTATAATAAAAAGAGAGCTGCAGTGCTTATATGATAAGCTGTATTTACACACTTTTGGATGTCCAACTGGCATGCTCCCATCTTAATTTGTAGCTGTAAAGAATATACTTATTCCAAACCAGTGAGCAATTCCAACTCTGCATTTGAAGCAATAAAAACCAACACAGTCCAATAGAAGTATCTTTCTTCCTGGATGGCAGAATGTAATACACAAAGGGAAAATAAAATTCGTGCCATCTATCTAAAACTGTTTAAACATCCTCATGACAGATTTATATACATTTTTGAAAGCCAGGAAACCATCCTGTTCAGTGATACAAATTTTTTATTCCTAGCTGTGATAAAATCTGACATATTGGGCTCTGGTCCTCACACCTATTGAGCCGAGCAACATAGTAATGGCAATAATCAGGTCTCTTGTTATTTTTAAAAGCAGTAAAGAAGTTTTATTTTGCTTTATTTTACTTTTAAATCTAAATACAGCACGTAGAAAGAGACTGCTCTTGTAGTGGGTTATTACTATTCATTGGTTAGCCACTCATGAACGATATGGCCACACCAACACTTTTTAGTGCTTTTACATCTAGTGTAATCTAGACATCATTGCGGTCCTTGTAACGCTCATTTGGAGACTTCCTGGGTTTTAGTTTCCACTAAGCAGATTGTCGAAGAACTACATGCCCTTGGGAATTACATGCAAGCAGGAGTCCTAAAGCGAAGGTATCGTACAGAAAGCAAGTTGATTAGATTTCATCATTAGAAAGCTGCATAAAACAAACCAATGGCTCGGAGATAATAACTTAGGACAAAAACCCAGCAAAAACTGCTAGTTTAAGCTTTGCCTCAGAGGAAAAATTCCACAAATTTAATCAGCCTTGGGAAGCACTTTTTACATAAGGGTGGACTCACATTATTCGGTATTAGCATTATGAAACAAACCGCTTACTTTTTGATCTGTTCCAGCTTGCTTTCCTCTGCCTTGATGTAATCTTTCAGTGACACCACCAGATCTTTTTCTGTATTAATTAAGTCTGTCATATGACCTAGAAAACAAATGAGCTTGGTTAGACAAGGAGAAACAAAAAAACCTGAGAACTGAGAATTAGAGGCGTTCTTCCTCTCTTCTACTTTCTTCCCCTCTTGAACCCTTTCTTCCCCAAAGTCCTTCTGCATTTGCTGAAGGAGTATGAGTAAGGCTTCTTGCCCTTTTTTTTTTTTTTTGAAGGAAAAAAAATCTCACATTGGACCAAGCTTGTTGCCATGGAAGTTAATGTAATATCACATATTTATTATTAGAACTAATTTAGGATTCATTTGGAAAAGGAAGTAGGTTGCAACAGAGTAATCTTTCATTCAAGCATATATAACGTAGAACAAATAAAGACAAAGCTACAGAAATATACAAAGACTAATGTTTGATATACAATACTAATCCAGCGTTTCATTTTTAAGATTACTTGCATGACTTCAATGGGTCTCCTAACAGACTCTGTTATTAATTAATAATTTCTTAATCTCCTGCAAGGAAGCAGCTGAACTGGTTCATCGTGAAGTGATACAGTCCACGTCTTCAGCTGTGTCACAGGCCATCAGAACCCAAGAGAGAGTACGCTGACATACTGGTATCATTATGTACCCTTAACAGCTGTTTTGCTTGCTTCTACGTACGTGCAACAGTCCACACCAAAATTTTGTTTAAAATCCAGTACCTATAAGAACACATAATGAATACAAAGTCTAGCCTGGGTCATTAAGACTAACTGGACTAACTTAACTCAAAGCACGTTTCTCCCAAAAGAAAAAAGTCAATACGGTCATATGAACTAGTAAGTGGATTTAGTTCTGAACCAATTAAAGCCTTGCATGCCATTAACACATCGTTGCAGAATCAGTTTTCAGAGCCATCAAGAAATTCTTTCGGCTATGCAGCATATACACCAAAGCACGTCTCACCAATAGAAGTGAAGAAGTCCGTGTGGGCATAAGAAAAGGGCAACAGAAGTCCAAGGGCTACAGTATACCAAATCTTGTTGAACGCCATAGTTCAATAGCGGTCACCTCACCACGTACCTACGAAAGAAACAAAGTAGTTAAAATATCCCTATTCAGCAAAGGGTTAAATCTACCTTCAAAAGAGACAGTTTATTGTCTTGGGGCTGCCACTAGTTCTTGAGGTAGCAGAATCTTGATAAGCTTGAGCAGTTCTCACAGAGGACTGATGCCCTTCTGCAGACTTTCTTCTACTTTTGCCTTGTGTGGTATGAGAAGAAAGAATAACTTGGAGACAGGGTCTTCACAAGCACTCTCCATCTTTTTGACATCTAAGACACACTGCAGATAGAGCTGCTTCACAAAAAGTACCAAAAAACCCAAGCAAACACTGAAAAAAACATAATACCAAGTTCAAATACGTATTATCAAGTTCATCCACTCAACGAAAAAAAATGTTTCCTTTGATCAGTGAAAAAGATGCCAGTGGAACAGGTCTAAATGAAAACCCTACACAACCAATCCACAGAGTAAGTTCCTCACATGCTCCTGCTCTTCAGCTGCCACCATCATGAAGCCAGCCTCCATACCTGATACAAAAGGTTTCTCTGTCAGCTGGTTTATAGTTAGTCCCTGGATAAGTCCATAGCAGGCTTACAGGCGGCACTTTCTCCCACAAACAGCTGCCAAGCTCAGCCTTTCAAGATCCTGAACCCTTTCAACAGACTAGGATTTCCTCACTACTGCATACTTTAAAAGTAATTATGCTGCCTTGGAATTCACAAGATTTACTTTTTTCCAAACACGAAAGCTTAAACTCTGATGTATTGCAGCTGCTCAGAAAAATTAAAACAACCACATGTACTAACAGAAACTGTTTTACAACGCCTCCAACAGCAAGGCCACTAATGATGAAAAAAAAAAAAAAAAAAAAGAAGAAGAAAAAAAAGAAACATTGCAAAGCAAGTCCAGCCACAAAGTGGCTCGGCCTGTTTAGGGAAGAAAGCAATATGCTTTTGATTGAGTTGACAATACCGGTGACAAACAACAAAACCAGGTGTGCCATTCACACAAGGCGTAAACAAAATCAGGAAAGTGCGAAAGTCACACCCAAAGAAAAATCATCCCATCCAGAAGCGGAGGTATTAACAGGAAACATTCCCTTGACTCCAGAGTGCAGCATTTCTTCTCATATTGCACCTGAAGGGTCAGGAAGCAGCTCCCTCCTTTCCTTTGCACCTCTAGCACTACAGAAAGAGCAGTACTCTGATTTAGATTTACTGACTATGGACTGCCTCTTGGACAGGGCAAGCACAGTTTCACTGGCACTACCAGGAACAACAGGAAACTCTTACGAGCCTAGAAAAGCAGCACAATCTCCAACTCTTGTAAATCATCCGAAATCTGCATGACCAAAATTGAAGGGCTGAAACATTCTGGCACATTTACTGGCAGAAAGTAAGCTGTAAAGTAAAAATCTGGACGGAAACCTGGAGTCCTGCTTTTTTCCCAGTCGAGTCGGGTACCTCAGTCTCACCAGTGCTCTAAACTAGCCCTGCCGTCCACAGCAGCATTCCTTACCTCCTCCTCGCTTGCTCATCCCCTCCATAGGCAGCCAGGCAACCAGCTAAATCAGACTATTTCAAACATTAATAATAATAATAATAATAATAATAATAAAACTCAAATGCTCATTTCACGCTGGTTCAATTCTGATACAGTTCACTATATAGCCATGTAACATCCATGCCAGTATAAGAGCGCAATTTGGAGGCAGGAACTGGCAGCCAAAGACAGCAAAGGAAGGCAAAATTGTTGTTTCTGGTAGCAGCATAGGTTTAATCCTTTTCTGAAACTCCAGCCCTAAACACAATGAACAAATAAACAACCCTCCAGCCAGCCTGTAACACTTACCTAGTTTTCAGCATAAACTAGGGATTGTGGCAACATCTGTACCTCCCTCTTCTGTGACTGACAGTCTCATTAAACAAGAGTTCCAATTAAGTAATTGCCATAAATTAATGGGTCACACCTGGAAGCAAGTTTTCTTGCTGGCAAATTTCACCCTTTACTTAAAAGAAGCTGTATCCACATGCTCAAGGGACACTGATGTGTACCTGCATTCCTACTAGAAACCCTGCTCAATTCATATTTTGCTCTGCAGAAAGCCAAGTGCCTCCTGCTCATTCAGCACTCAAGCTAATACATCTGTGAATCAATTACAAAGCACAAACGGTCCTACTCACAATAAATATTTGCTAACGTTATCAATACGCAGAATTCATTGAGCTATTTGTTTACTGCACTCAGCAAAACACAAAGAAAGCTTCATAAAGTTTACTTTTTACTATTAATCAATACAAAACTTTTCTAAAACACAAACCAACCAAAAAAACACCAGAAATGTGATGAAAACAATGTCTCCTCCCCACCTACAGCTCCCGGTGACAGTCTTCCACCTCGCACAACAGAACGATGCCTTAAAGCCTGCTTGAGTAGCATGCGTTGGAAACAGTTTTTCCCCTTCTCTACCTGCCTTTACAGCCTGCTCCAATACTGGGCTGACTCCGAACGCAGCTGCAACCCTATTCCCTCCTCACACCTTCGCAGGCATACAGCAGAATGAGCAAGTGGCAACGGTCACGAATTGCAACAAGGGAAATTCTAAGCAGGTACAAGGAAAAAGTTCCTCACAGTGACAGCAGTTAGGCACTAGAAGAGGTTGCCCAGAGAAACCGGTTTCCCATTCTTGGAAGGATTTCAAAACTAAATGGGACAAGCCCACGTGCAGCATAACCTAACCTCCAAGCTCACCCAGCTTTAAACAGGACGTTAGGCTAGATGACGTCCAGAGGTCACTTCCAACTTCATTTTTCTTTCCTTTCGCAGTCTCCAGATTTTCTATCATTTGCAGGGACTCGGACTCCTGTAATAGCTTTCAGCCACCCAAGATTACTTCCCTCCCAGATGGAATTCAGAGAGTTGGAAACAGAGCCCAAGGCAGCGGCCAGCCAAGCTTTCACTGCCCTAACAGCAGTTGCTAAGTAGCACAGCTTTCAAAACTACGGCAGAAGGATCAGCTACAGGTTCCCAAATCAAAGAAAATAAAGCTCAGTTAAGATAGATGCTGGAAATCTCTTAGACACACAAGCTGCCAAATAAGTAGGCTTAATTTCTTCCTGTCAGTGACATGAAGCAAAACAAGATGAAAATCCTCTCTACTTTATTCCTGTCAGTCTGACTCTCCTCCTCAGCCACGTCCCTCAGACAAACACAAAGATGGCAGCTGAGCATCTCAGAGAGAAGGGAATCCACTACCCACATACAAAGTGGGAGTCCAGCTGACAGTTTTAACACAGGAGCTTTCCGATTTTCCATAAGAAGTATACTTAACTAAGCTTTCAAACAGTAAAACATGGCAGAGCAGAAAAAAAAAAACAAAAAAACCAGAAAAAATAGCAAAGAACAAACAAACATGAAGATACAAGTAAAACAAAACAGCAATTAGACAAATGATACTGCCAAGCGCAGCACAGGATTCCCCAAACAGTAGGGATACAGAACAAACGCCATTTCAAATGATGAAACTTAGAGGCAGGTTTTTTGAGGACTTTTTAAAGAGTTCAGCTCTGCCCTACAAGTATAAACAACCTGCGAGAGTCTGGAGAGTGGACATGCATGTAGCATCCACGCAAGCAGAAGGAAAGGTGAAGTTAAGACAAACTACGGAGAGCGATATAACCTCACAACAATCAAGGTCACGGCAACTGGTGACCAAAGACTGAAGCATTTAACTGAAGATGCTTATTATACAAGTCTCCTCACTACGAATTCTAAGCTCCCAGGTGCTTACCAGGATCCAGAAAACAAGATAGAAAATGGAAACTGAGGGTGTACTTCAACATGGAATTATTCTGGAATAGCTCTATCTTAATTCCAAAACAGCTTCTTTATCTAGGTAAGAAATAAGTGACCTATTCAAAATTAAGTCTGCTGTGAGGCCAGGAGTCAAACTGTATCACCAAGATCCTCAACTTTTGATTTAAATACTGGTCCACTCTCACAACCCTTACTGTATCCCACTGTATGTAAAAAAAAAAAATAAATCAGTTAACTGAGCTGAGTTGGGGGGGAGGATAGCAGAAATGATAGCTGCTCACTGCACTAAACCTCTTCTGTCTCAAGAACAACTCAAGTTCTAGTCTCACGACACAATGTGACTGGAAATACTACTCAAAAGGAAAGAACTTTCCCAGAGTAGGCATTAAGTACCAAGAACATTTAGCTGTCATCATTGCTTAACAGTCTCACAGGACAGAAACATCAGAATCCAGTTCCCTAAGTTCTCTAGCACATTATATTTAAAGGCTGTTTTAAAATTAAGATCCAAGCAGTGAGAGAAGAAAGATTTTCCAGAATTGCTGCTAACAAAAGAACATGGCATGTTTTAGGCTTCTTTTAAATGACAAAGTTATATATATATATAAAAAGATTACTTATACTACATCTAATAAGAGATGAGAATCAATTTGAGAGTCAAGTAGGTGATGTGTTTTAAGTATCATTTATTGCCAACTTGAAGACAACATTCCTGAGTCTGACTATGGAACAGGTGTGTTCGTACACAGATTTGTACCCAAGGAACGGAAGCAAGTTTTAGCTTGGTTTCTTCCAGACTAAGACTGAATGGACACAGCCCTCTCAGAGCCCACTTGTTTTAACTTTCTAAGCCAAGACAAAGAACACTGGCAATAGAGCAGAGCACTTATCTTACTAGACACAACAAGCAGGAGGCTATCCTTCTATTTATCCTTCTGCTCAAGGATTAGCAGAGTATCTATAGAGAGATACAGAATGTTTTCAGATATTAAAAGTGATTATAAAGAAAGCAGGACAATCCTAACCATCAACAGCTGAAAAACAGTAACAGATAAGAGCTCTTTTAGGCTGAAGTTGCAGCCCCACAGGTGGTTCTGCAGTAGCAGGAAGCCTGCTCCACTGAAGGGGAACAGCCAGTCATTCTGAAGTTATTGCAAGAACACTGCCTAGAAACACACAGCACAAGTGACAGCAAAGATGCTG